CTTTTAAAGCCACACTCAAATATAATTTAATACACGATTAAATAAATATAAATAAATAAAATAATAATGATAAAAAATAAATAAATATAATTGGGTTTTCTTTTTCTCCTAATATTATCAATAGCTTGAGAGCTTAGCCTTTATTTCGGCTCTATCTATATGATGAATATTTTATTTCTTACTCAAAAGACAGAGATGATGTCTCTCAGTGAATAGTCTGGTAATGGACTTGCTATACAGTGGGTATAGTAAATGACCACCCCCCTTTAAAATAATCACATTTTGTTGCTTTGTAGCCTGAAATGAAGACAGGCATTTTTTGTTTTATCCAGCTGTATTTACCCTGTGCATCTTATAATATCAAAGTGAAAGATATAACACCAACATTAAAAAAATAATAATTTAATACAGAATCACTGAGTTGGAAAAAGGATCAGCCCTTGTGTCAGTATTTTGTTGAAGCACCTTTTGCTTTAAATACAGCATTTAGTCTGCTGGGATTTGTCTCTACTAACTTTGCACATTTTGACTTTGCAATATTTGCCCGCTCTTCTTTGCAGAACTGCTCAAGTTCAGTTCAGTTTGATGGTGAGCGTTTGTGGACTGCAGTCTTCAAGTCATTCCACAGATTTTCAGTGGGGTTTAAGTCTGCTCTGACGAGGCCATGCAAGGACATTCACCTTCTTCTCCTTCAACCACTGTGTGCTCAGTTCTGCTGTGTGCTTTGGGTCATTGTCATGTTGGAAGGTAAACCTTCTTTCTTCTAATTAGCATTATAATGTAAACCAGAGCAATAATGAATGCAAATAATCTTCTTTATGAATGACTGATGATAGTATTTTTGCCTCTCATCAGACATGCAGAAGACTCAGAGAGGCTATTGTGCTCACACCATTTAGTTAGTTTAAAGTGAACCAATTCCATGTCTTCCACAAGGAGCCGGTGGAGATTTCCTCTGTTTGTCTTGTAATTAACTACCACAAGTACTAGAATCTGGACATCTATTCTCATTAAAGGGTTTATTTATAAAGTGTTGAACTCAGTGAACTCATGAACATGGGCTGTGTGTCACCGTGACATGCTGGAAGACTCATAGAGCTTGTTTCCAAAGGACTTTTCCCACACCTACATGACATTTAGCACCCAAACGGGCTTGCGGGAATATTCGTGAATCATATTCCTCGTTCTTTCCTCTCTCACTTGCAAAAGAGTAACATCTTTAAAACAAAACCATACCAAATTTGAACCATCATACACTGATATTAAATAATATATTTAATATATATTTATATTAAATGAGGCATTATCTATTTCTATACAATAAGAATATATACAGTGGGTACGGAAAGTATTCAGACCCCCTTAAATTTTTCACTCTTTGTTATATTGCAGCCATTTGCTAAAATCATTTAAGTTAATTTTTTTTCCTCGTTAATGTACACACAGCACCCCATATTGACAGAAAAACACAGAATTGTTGACATTTTTGCAGATTTATTAAAAAAGAAAAACTGAAATATCACATGGTCCTAATTTCAAGTTTCAAAAGTGAAAATGTTGCTATTTTAAAAATAATGGCAGATTTAAAAAAGCACACCAAAAACAACAAATTGTTATGCTGATAAAATAATTTGTAAATAAATTGAATAATTATATATTTATATTAAATTAGGAAAGAATGCATTTTAAATATATTTATATATTGTAAGCCTAACAAGACTATGCATTTAATCATAATTTCTAATTCATTTTAAAAGTGAACTTTAAATGTGAATTGTTAGGCAAAGATAAAATAGTTTGTTATAAAATAATAAATGATTAAATAACACATTTATCAAATATTTAAAATGTAATAATTTAATATACATTTATATTAAATTAAAAATGGTAAAAAGAAATGCTAATTAAATATATATATATATATATATATATATATACAATATGTGTGTGGTGTGTGTGTGTGTGTGTATATATATATATATATATATATATATATATATATATATATATATATATATATATATATATATATATATATATATATATATATATACACACACACACACACACACACACACACACACACCACATTCATACTGTAAATATATATATACAGTGTGTAAATATTTTAATGTTAATTTCTATTTCTAATGTTTTGTCCATCTCTCAACAATCAGTGATTCCAGTCTTATGGCAGTGGCCACATGTCTTGTGCATATTGAATCAATGGTGTGTCTTTCACGGCATGAGCATTTGTGTGCAGCAGTCATGAAAGAAATATACATTTAATGTCTGCTTCAATAGCAGCACATGAAAGCAGCCCAGAACTCAAGGGACCTGCAGGCAATTATCTCACTTGTAGTATGCACTGCCCCTACAGTCACAACATTAGCTTTCATAAAAATGTCATGCCCTTGTGCTTGTGCTTTTGCATTTAGTAGTTGTTCTGTTTGGGTCAAACGCACTGCAGAGAACAGTCACTCTTCTGAACAGGGAAGCATATGCGCTTTTCAAATCATATTTTGTGTAAATGGGTTTTGCTTTTGCAGTCAGGCAGAACACTGGACACTCGTCTGAACTGTTTTGTATCTCTCATGATTTCTTTACCTTTTTCCCTATTTTACATTCATTTATTCCTTTGTGCAAAACATTTGAAATAAAATAGCCTAGTGCATGATGTCCACTAGTGTTACATCCACAGCACAGATACTATCCCACAATGAAATGCTTTTGACTTGATCTTATATTTCTAATGTGATGAATGAACTGGAACTAATTACAAATGCAAATCTCTTTTAAAATCATTATTTAATTGAATGCTAGTAAAGAAATTTTACTCAAAATATTTTTAAAGCAATTGTATGTATATATATTTTTAATCTTGGAATATCAGTTTCAAATTCATTCTAATGGTACACGGACTTCTAATAGAACGAAAGGCTTCCGCTTCTTTCCAAACGTCTTTTCTGTAAGTTTGCTGAGTGGGTACGAAATTCCGCGAAAAAGCCGGATCGCTTTACGGCAGAAACAAATGCACAGTCAGGCCTCAGATGGTTGGTCTGAATCCTACATGTCGCAAAACTGTGACTTCTCTTATAAAGCAGTATTTGTGTCGGTAAAAACTCTAAAAAATGATAAGCTGTTTTCCCACAAAACCAGTTTATTCAGCGTAGTGACTGCAGAGGGTTCCAAAGTTGCAAAAATACATACAAAAACGACATATAAATATATATATATATATATATATATATATATATATATATATATATATATATATATATATCTCGCAACAAATAAAAAAAGAAGACTGTTGATTTTAAGTAGGCTACAAAAAAAACGCTGAAGAAACACATTCTTTTTTTTTTTATAATGCATGCGTCAGAGCAATTCCTGGAGGGCCGGAGCCCTGCAGAGTTTTATTCCAACCCTGCTCCAACACACATACCATGTAGTTTTCAAATAAGCCTGAAGCACTTGATTAGTTGGATCAGGTGTGTTTAATTAGGGTTGAATCTAAACTCTTCAGGGCTCAAGCCCTCCAGGAATTGAGTTTGACAATCCTGCATCAGAGGGTTAAACAGTCATGCTTCAACATGGGCACTTTTGAGCATTTTTTCTCTGTTACTGAAAATGAGGTTTCCACTACTCCTCTCGTTTTATCATGACAGTTTAATTAGCCCAGAGTGGTTAAGCCGCCCAGTATCTCTGTCAGATGTGGCGCAGTGTCTGTTTGAAGATTTGGACTCTCTCCACTGGAACTAAAGACAGGGGCTTTTGTCATATTCCTGTGGCAGAGGGTATTGCTTGTGCTCTGCTAATCTAGGAAATTCCCCATGTGCTGGAAGCAACAGCGATGGATTTTATGGAGCTCACAGATAGTGTTCAAGGAGGCTGTTTTTTTTCTCAGTGTTTTGCTTTTAACATAATACCCGGTTTAAATATGAATTGAGCATTGATACAATGTGTTTTAAACAGAACAGTAATAGTAATGCACAGTAACTCTAAAATATGCTGACACAATGCCTGCATCTGTCTTCAAACAAATATAGAAATGAGATTGTTTCTTTGTTTCATAATTGTTTTACTGTTTAAATTTAGCAGAAAACCCAATAACAATTTCAGGTTTCCATTGTCATAAAAGTCAACATGTGTTAAACTGTATGTTTTTTTCCTTGACAATAACAGTGGAAATCTTAATTATTTAATTAATATTTTCTAAAAAGATTAAAAAAATTAATATAAAACATTGAATAATTGTGAATTGTATTTATTTATTTTGTAGTTAAAAATGTTTGTGTGCAGAAATTGACTTTCATAATTAAAGCCACCTTGAGAAATATTCAGTGTTCATGAAAGGAAGATATTTCCTGGACAATAATGGTGGAAACATGTATTTTATTTATTTATTTATTTATCTGAAACCTTTAAAAATGTGTACAGAAAAACAAAAACAACCTTGTGAAATATTCAGTGTTTATAACTGTGTGGCAAATAAATGTTTTTTGTTTTTTCCTGGACAATAATGGTGATATTACTTATTTATTTGTTTGTTTATTTGTTTAGTCAAAAAACTTAGAGGTTTGTGTACAGTAATAATAATCAGAATATATAGAATCAAAATTATCAGAGGGAGAAACATTCATAAAATGATTTATTTATATTATCTTAAAATGAGTATATAAATACAGCTCTCTCTGTGTCTCTCTCTATATACACACAAATATACTTTTTAAAATAATTTTTAATATACAAAATATACTTATATACTATAATTATATTGTACAGTACACAATATATTTTTGTATATTTGTCAACACACGACTGATATTTCAGACTAACGCAGGATGTGTCCAGACTTTTAACTGGTGTATTATTCATGAGCCCTTCAATCAATTTTAAGTAGCATCGACTCACACCACATCCCGCCCCCCAATACAGGTATCACGGAAGTGACGTCACGGAGCACGGAAAGGGGGGGATGAAGCGTTTCAGAGAGCAAGATGGCAGCAAAATCCGATGGCGTGGGGGTCGTTACCGGTTTCGCCCAGCTGCACAACCTGGACGAGGTGCTCGGCGACGAGGATGCGCTGGACAGCGCGGCCATACACATCTGCCACTGCTGCAGCTCGTCGTCGTGCTACTGGGGCTGCAGGAGCGCGTGTCTGCAGTCGCTGCTGGGAGACAGGGATGCTGGAGGATGGGGGCGGCCGCAGCATCAGCACCAGACGGAGGAGCGCCTGTGGCTGGACTGCCTCTGGATCGTCCTCGCGCTGCTCGTCCTCTTCTGGGACGTCGGCACGGACTTGTGGCTGGCCTTGGACTACTACTCCAAACGGGACTATCTGTGGTTCGGGCTCACGCTGTTCTTCGTGCTGGTGCCGTCGGTGCTGGTCCAGATTCTAAGCTTCAGGTGGTTCGTCCAGGATTACACGGGCGGTGGTCTCGGGGCCATGGAGGGGCTCAGCCGAAAAGCCACGGCGGATCTGAGCTCGCGCATCTACGGCAGGGACAGGTGCTGTGTGGTCTACATTTGGATCTGGCATGCTTGTGTGCACATCCTTCAGATGGGACAAGTGTGGAGGTAAGACGCGGAATGTCACATTAGGATGATGCACATGATGTGCATGTTTTTGTCACATTAGGATGATGTGCATGATGTGCAAAACAAGAGGCTTGTTTTGAATCCAGATGTATTGGACATGTACACATAAACATGCAGATGCATCGTATAATTTCTTCTCTATCCGTCAAGCCAAGCAGTCTAGCTCAGTTGAAACACGGTGTTTTCTTTCTCTTGCTTTATGGCTGGTTCAGTGTCCTCCTCTAACCATCTGTGTAACGACGCCAAACAGTTCATTTCAGCAGAATGACGGGTTCACTTTGGGCTGGAGAGTGTGAAATCGATAGAGCTTGTAATTAATTTACTTGAATGACCTCTGCAAGAGGAAAACAAACCTCAGTCTGGTTGGGTTGGTTTTGCTGCATCCAGCTTGGGCTTGATCTTGTAGGATGTTGCTCTCACTTTCAGTCTTGTATATTTTAGCCGTTCAAAGGTCATATTTCATGCTGATTGAGAAGCATGTGTGCACTGATGTGTCTCATCTGTTGAGAGGTTGTTTTTCAGCTCCCAAGTTGAATATGAGCAGGTTAGCTTGAAACAAGGCTTTGCATCACCAGGATTTGCATTCAGATGCTTTTATCCAAGTGCAGAATAAGAAGCCTGCCATCAAGACACAGCATGAGGAGGGGCGGATATTTTATGTTTTGTAAACATATATTGGAACATTTTTTACATTTTAATGTCTGATTATCTGAAAATAATTGAATACAGATTTTTTTCGTAAATTGTATTTGAGTAAATCTCACAAAAACATGATTTGCATAAAGAGAAACTTATTTTAGTATTATTACATATTTTTGTTTTGCATTTTGATATTATATATAATCTTTAATTTTTCTTTCTCCAATATGATAATTTTTCATTACAGTCAATATAAAAGAAATCAAATAAAACATGATGTATAATTATTTGACAGTTTTACTAATATATTCTACTTTTTCTGCATTAAATTAATGAGAATTAAATTATTGTGGGATTTTGAGGAGGTAAAACGTGCTTAATTTACATTAAATTAATATCAGAATGTTGTTGTTATTTATTATTATTATTATTATTATTATTAATAATAATAAGATTAATTGGACTTGATTTTGTTTTAGAAAAATATTTTAATATGTTTTAGGAGAATTTACGATTTTACAAGTTTATAAAATGTATAAAATTGTAAATGTTATAAATTCTTGTTTTTTTTCTGCATTAAAATAATTATTCTGGGGGTAAAATGTGCTTAATTGTCACTAAATAACAACAACAATATATATATATACATATGTGTATATATATATGTATATGTACATACACACACTATACTAGTAAATTATTTTGAACAGTAAGATTTTTAATGTTTTTTTAGAGAATTCTCTTCTGCTCACCAAGCCTGCATTTATTTGATCCAAAATACAGCAAAAGATATATATATATATATATATATATATATATATATATATATATATATATATATATGTGTGTGTGTGTGTGTGTTTTTTTCTTAATTTTTTTGAAATGTGCAGCAACTGATTTTGTGCAATTCATCTCATTTCCTTTTGCTTTATTTACTGCCATAGTTTAGTCTGTTGGTGAAATGGTACAGAATAACTCATATGAAGTTATATGTCATATGAAGTGGAACATTCTTTTTAAATTGCATTTTCATAGAAATAATTAGATTAATGAAGGATTCCAGGCTGCATGATTTTTCAGTCAACCCAGTTATCAGATTACAGCATTTCCAAGTAGTAAATCACAGTTTTGTGCTCCATTCTGTTCAGAATATACAAACGCCTGTGATTAGCTCCATACAGTGTTTCGTGAGAGTGTCCAGTGATATGTAAGAATAGCTTGTTGTTGATGTTTGGTTTCATCAGCGGGGCGACAGGAGATGTAGTCAGTGTCTGCAGGCCTGAATAAGACGATTAGTTGACTGTCATGCCGGTTAAGATCATCTGTCGGGCTCAGGGGTGACCAGAAGCTGACAGGCGCAGGCAGAGAATTTGTTCCCCGTCGGCGGCGCTCACACTCTCTGGATGCACAGATGCTTCCCTTGGCAGAGATCTAACACTGATGAGGGCTGATTGCGGTGTTCAGAGTGTAAGACCCCAGCTTGACTCTGAGTTCTCACAGCGTGAGAATCCTTTCAGCTCTTCCATGCATTTAGTTTACACATGCAGATCATGTCCAGTTGTTATTCTGTTATGATGTTCTGATCGTTCGGACCTTTGGACCCTAAAATTAACATACGACTAGAATTAATCAACAAAGAAATGAATTAGTTGCAAGATGGCGGTTTGTTAGTTTGTCAGTGTTTGTCGCTCATCTGCTATTTCATTTTTTAATAGTCCGTGTAATATTGTAATAATAATATTTAATATTCCATGCTAAATTGTATTTGGTTTTGTGTACATGTTATTTTTGGCTGCATATCTTGGCCAGAAAATTCCTATAAAAGAGAGTTTTAATTTCAATGAGGATTTTTTGATTTTCCCTAGTTAAAAAACAAGAAGAATAATAATTAAATTCAAGTTTATTTGTACAGCGCTTTTCACGATACAAATCATTGCAAAGCAACTTTACAGCAAATTAAGTTTCTACAATATTTAGTGGTAGCTTATCAGTAATATAATATAATAATAATATAATAATAATAGTTTAAAAAAGAATAATAAAGTTTTGGTGTTTTCATAGACAATTTAATTTGTGGTGCTTTGCGCTGAAACATTTTTGTGAAACAATTTCCACTCAAAATGCTAGTAAATTTAACAAATAATTTTAATATATAAAAAAAATGCCACATAGCACATTGAATTGAATGTGACATTTTGAAGTGAAAAGACTGAAATAGTATTTTCTTGTAAAACATACTCCAACAGTTTTTGATTTATTTGTAACTTTGAAAAATCAATATATTTGAAGATATTGATTTTAACAAACCATCAACACTAAATATTAAACTTGGGTCAAAAATCATTCTGCACTGCAAAAAAAAAAAGAAGACAAAAATGTGTCTTGTTTTCCTGTACAAATATCTAAACAATATTAAATCAAGATACATTTACTTGACATGTAAAATTATTAAGTATTTTTTTCAAAAAATGTAAGTGAGTTTGTGCTTAAAACAAGAAAAAGAAATTGGCATCAAAAAAAAAAACTAGAAAACTAGTTATTAAATTAAACTAGTATTTACCTTATTGGCAGATTTTGTTCTTGTTTTAAGGAAAAATTTACTTAATTTTGATAAGTTTTTCAGAAAACAAGACAGCAATTTTGATTCTCAAGTAAATGAGAATATTTGTTCTGGAAAACAAAAACAAAAAATCTTTTTTTGCAGTGTGCGATTTTGTGCATGAATGGTTCCTCTAATATTTAGCTAGATATGGAGATTTTGCTTAAAATAAAAATGGGTGAAATCCCACAGACTTGCATTGAAGGAAAAAGCTGAGCCGTATCTAGACGACAATATCACAAAGACTTGAGCATTGACTATAGGACCAGTAAGAAACCACCTACTGCAGCAACCTAATGTAATCCACCAATAGCAACACAAAAACCTAATTTGCATTCTAGCATCAGTTATTAACCCTCTGGGCAATGTCCTATTGAAGTGGGTGAGCTCGGGGTCCTTGCGGTCTTATGCAGACATGAACTCTGGTCCAGCAGCTGGTGTGGCTGTAGATGTTGGCACTGACACACTGACCTGAATTCTCCTGTATCTGTTCAGTGCACTTTCAGTCACCCCGAGCCCCAGAGCTCACACCCTTCACCGCCCCGTTACTGGGCTTTTACTGCCTCGACTTAACCACAGCACGAGCGGCTCCTGGGACGAGACAGACGCAGCTGCTCTACACACTTCACTGCTGCACGGATCCCTCTCACAAGCTGCTGTCTTTTCTAGTCCACCCACTCATGCAATCTTTACCTTGTTTAATGTTCAGCACTTGTACATTATTTATTTAGCTTGAGCTCTTTCTGTAGAATGACATGAGAAATACAACCGAAGGTCTCTCCAGTACCAGTTGCTCATAGCGTGAGACTTATAGTTGATGTGTGTAAGGTTTTTGATGTTAAATTCTTTCTGCCATACAGTTTACAGTCATGCATTTTATCCAAAGCAACTTACAATAGAGCAAAATAAGCAACCTGTCACAGAGCCAAACAATATTCATAGTTTCATAGTGTACAATGCAGCTTTGTTAGAAAGCTAGATTAAGAAACGATGAAGAATGAATATTAATGCCCCACTCATGCAATCTTTACCTTGTTTAATGTTCAGCACTTGTACATTATTTATTTAGCTTGAGCTCTTTCTGTAGAATGACATGAGAAATACAACCGAAGGTCTCTCCAGTACCAGTTGCTCATAGCGTGAGACTTATAGTTGATGTGTGTAAGGTTTTTGATGTTAAATTCTTTCTGCCATACAGTTTACAGTCATGCATTTTATCCAAAGCAACTTACAATAGAGCAAAATAAGCAACCTGTCACAGAGCCAAACAATATTCATAGTTTCATAGTGTACAATGCAGCTTTGTTAGAAAGCTAGATTAAGAAACGATGAAGAATGAATATTAATGCTTTTTTTTTTAAATATTAACTATTTGTTTAATATTCAGTAATAGCTATTTTAGTGTCACTGATATACTATTGTAGTTTTTAATAATAGTTTTTTTTAATAACTTCTCAGTTTTATTTGTTGTTTTTCACTTTAATTTTAATTTTAAAGTTTTAGTAATTTTGTTGTGTTTTTTGTCATTTTTATTATTTTTTATGTCTTTTTATGTAGTACTACAAGTTAAACAAAAAAATAAAAAAATTTCGGCAACTAACTGAAATAAATTATTTTATATTTTTCTTTTTTCTTTTAACATTTATTTAATTTCCCTGGAAAGTTATTAAAATATTGATTTCTATTTGAGTCAATTATTTATTTGAATCTGTTATCTGTTATTATTCGGCAGACAAGAGTA